TCCAGTACTTCAAAATCTCAAAACAAGCAAATTGCAAATGGCAACTTGTTCACGGCGTTAAAACGTTAATGGACTGAAGCTAATTAAATTTGTCAACGTTAGCGAGGCTGTATGACGCCGTAGAAAACACTTGCTGTTAAATGTTGTTATTAAGTTCTATTAAAATTTTTCAGTTACAAGCCATCAATATCCTCATTTCTATGGGTTTATTTCATTTACGTATTGCTTCATTTTATAATAACACTTTATTCACAGTTCTTCCTGTGTATCCAAATACTGAAGCAGCTGTAAAGTATAAATTCTTAAAGCATTCTATTTTTTATCCTACAGGGGCATTAAAACGTCAGTGCCCACAAATTAATAATTTTCCCTTTAAATGTTTCTTTTCACTCTTAACTTGTTTTAATTTCTAAATTTATACGTCGAATAGAAAATAGGGATACATACATTGAGTTATATGTACTACGTACTAGAGAAGCCATTCCGAACATTGACTATGTTCAACTGAACTGTAGTGCAATCCATACAAACTAAATATTGCGTAAATTGAAGAATTGTGAATTCCATAAAATAATTATTACTACATTTTATTTAGAAATATGTTTGTTTAGATTAAATTAAGATATTTTATATTAAAATCTTATATTTATTTTATATTAAATTAAAGTCTTCGCGCATGCGCGACTACTACTCCCGCGCATGCGCGAAGATATAGAGTAGGACACAATTTTTGTTTGGAATGGCTTCTCTAGTACGTAGTACATATAACTCAATGGATACATATTATTACTTATATATTATAATAACTTGCGCAAGTAGTTTAAAAATTATAATTAAATATAAATTACAATGTTTTGTACACTAAACATTATATTTGAATCTACAGAATTAAGTAAGAAATGTATCAGTGAAATATTAAAATGGAATTTTTAAATACATGTAAAAGAAGCTATAAGTACCTACCTATTGTTTACATTCGAATATCGGAACAGATTATACATAAATTTTCTTCATTATATTTGTGTTCAGAAGAAAAAACACAGCTTTAGTGAAAAATGCATGAGCCATAACAATTATGCGTTAACAATTTACCAACCTATTCATAAATTTTGCAATAACATTTAAGTACCGAAAGCAATCAATATTTCTTAAATAAATTATTTATTACAATCGGCAAAATACAGACTGACCAGGAGAGCATAAAATTCGGAAAGCTTGCAAATATTAAGAACATCGAATACCATAACCAACTTAACTAAGAAACTCAGCAAGGCTTTAATTATATTTTCACGTCTATATTTTTGATAGATTAAGGGTAATAGACGAGCACACAGCCCACCTGATGTATGCTCGTCTGTTAAGTGGTTACTGTGGCCCATAAACATCTACATATATCCCCGATTACGAATAAAATTGCAGATGTGTTGTCACCCGTGAGGACTAAGATGAAATGCCTCGTTTCTAGTAAAAAGGCTCTCTGGTTCTCTACACTCACCATACGAAACACAGCAGCGTTAAGCTGCTATTTTACGCTGGTTTTCTGTGAGAGCGTGGTCCTTCTTCGGTCGTGCCGATCCATTCGTGCTACAACTATACCAGTAATATAGCTGCAGAATAGCTCTACCACGTACAAATTCTGTCGACTAAATATAAAAGATTTAGTCAACAGAATCGTCAGCGAACGCTGGTAAAAGGAATAACAACGTGACACAAGCTAATTAAAGTTTGCAACATAATTAGGTACATAAGTAACTAACATTATATTTACGCCAAAACATCTACATGGCTGCATGAAAGTCTAGCTGCCAGCCAGTTGCTGTACCAATAAACACCGAATGTTCTTACCATTAAATCACAATCTGTAAACTACGCTTATCAAAGAAGCTTCTAAGTGGCACATAACAGCCCTGTATTACCTTCTATGTTCATTATAATAACGATTTACGTAATATCAATTATATTTAAGGGTAGTTATTTAAAATGGGTTGCTATAACCATATCGGGCTATACTCGTATCTGCTTAGTACGAGTAGCAAGTCCTTTAAAAGTAATGATTATGTGGACTTTCCTGTATTAGAAATCAGTACATATAAAGAAGTAATAAGAAATATAAAAATATTAGGCATCTCTGAGACCTCAACTAAGGAAGACCCTACCTAATAAGATTTTAAGGTAGTGCGAGATCTCAAAATGGCGTCCCAAATGTGTAATCGCTTACTCGCGACATGAAAGGCTTTTCCATATAAACTGAAGATAACATACATTATATACATCATACTAATATGTATTATACATATGAAAGTTTGTTTATTGGATGATTTTTACTGTTTCGCGCCGAATCGAATCAACGGCGTAAAACAAAATTTAGTTTGAGTCAACTCTAGGTTGATCTACTCAAAAAAGTGAACAATTTTTAAATAAAAAATACTCTTATAGACTTTTCTGTCCAACCAAAACAATTTCGGTAGGAACTTGACCACCGGCGCATTGCTATTTGCGTACCATCGTTCAAATAATGGTTTGTAGTGGATTTTAATACGTATAAGTGATTCTCTCGTCTCGTCTTCGTATATTGACTAATACTAGAAATTACTAAACAACTACCCCGATGCTTCCGTGGCGCACTAGCTTAGCAATAAGCTAAGGCACTAAGGCCTGAATCTGAATTCCGTACGGAACAAGGTTAGTATAGACTACAAGTAACTGTTCCTAATTTGCATGTTTGTCGTTGTGCAATTACTATATGTAAACTGACTACCTCCACGATAAAGTAGAAAACCTTAGTGTGTGGGTATGTTTTTTTTTAAATGGTGGTATAAAACTCAAGTTATTTTGCTGCTTAGGACCCCTGAGACTTTAGATACTATCATCATCGACTAACTGTTACCTTAAGCTGTCGTCGAAATCTCCAAAAACTACGCAATCGAAATATTCTGAAGAAGCATTTCAATTTTTTTTTGTTGGTTAGTGTGATAAACGAGCATACAATCCACCTGATGGTAAGTGGTTGCTGTTTGAGTAAATAACATATTATTGATATTGATGTCATTTTAAAGCTAATATCATATGCTATTATAATGTAAAATAATGTCAGGAACTATTACACTTTTCTTGTAAAACTCGAAATAAAAAATAAATACGAATCTATTTATATTACTATTTGTAAGCTTTATTTTCGTCCATATATAGTTTGACCAATTTTTTAACAAAATCAAATTCTGAATTCTTTGAGCTTTTCGAGAATACTTTTAATTTGGATGTAGCTATAGAAGTTTTTCAGTAGTAATCGCATTTGTGAGACAGTTTCGCGAGGTCGTAAAAAAATGCGCGGACAGGTGAGTCGAGAATCACTCGCGCGGCGTGGACGGTTCAATGGACACATACACACACACACGTCGTTTTTCATTCGTGGACCTCTAAAACTGAGATCGTTTCTTGCTTTTATCTCTATAAGCGACAGTTAAACGTATTTAACATTTGCTCTTTATGACTCATTGCTATGGGTCATATTTTTTGAATATTCTGAGGTTGTTCATAAAACCATATTTGATAAAATTTATGAATTCGATCAACATTCACAAAATATAAAAACAGAAACGCAGAAGAAATTAGCAGATTTTTTCAAGAAAGTGATGTTGGATTTTTTTTTTGTAAATATTATGTTCATATTCTATTAAATGATACCCATACAATAAATACATGTTTATTACTTTGCTGTATTTTTTACAGAATTCTATAAGTGATACAGACCTCTCCTGTTCCTGTGTAAGCTAGAAACTCTGGTTAGTGTAAGCAGATCGCGGTCCCTTGAGCGCTTATCTAGGTTCGACCGTATATTATTTATTTTTGTATGCAATACTAGACATAAAAGATCATATAAGTTTAGTATTAAGCAGAGATTTATTTTTTTACCAAGCGTAAAAGAATTTACTTCTCTAATCATCCAGTGGGTACCGTAAATGGCGACGGAGAGAAACTAAAGCAGGATATGAGCAACATCATCTACCTGGTAACAAACTCAATGATAATAAAACAGACTGCGGTGACCTAAACGTGGAACTGTACTAAATATCCCTCCTATCCAATCTACAGGGAAAGCCTATGTACAGCAGTGGACAATTATAATTGGAAATAATTAATGATTGGAAATTCGCTTTATAGAAAATGCCTGAAGAGACATCGATCATAATTTCCAAAAGGAAAAGTTATATATTACAGAATAGATAATATAGTAAAAAATTCCTATAGCTACCTCGGCCCTGCTTGTAAATGCATCCTTGTAATAAATTGACTACATAAGCTCTTATAGAAACGTTATATGCATATTGTTAAATCCAAATAATTTTTTTTTTTTATAAATGCTACCTTTTATTTAATTTTAATGTTTTAGCACAAAACTCTGCTCAAAATTACTCTCAAAATTTATTGTGCTAAAGTGTGTACAACATTGTGCTAAAATATACTCAACAAAACACTTTTATATTCTGTTTCAATATTGTAATAAAAATTTCCGGTGAATGCACTTTAACGCGACGGGACCACAGAAATACCGACGTATAACCAATTTAAAGTTTCTGTTGAAACATTCGCACTAGTACTTGTTTAATCCTATGCATTCATTCTACGCATTTAGCTTTTTAAAATCGCGAATAAAAAATTCAAAAGAGCGTTTTGTTCTTTAGCCTCGGCTTTACCCTATGAAAAAAGAGGCATGTTTGTGGATTTTTTTTGCGCCAAGTGTTCATCCTTTTAAAATTTTAAAAATAGCCTGATTTTTTTTAAACTAACTCTCAATAATAAGAAAGAACATAATAAAATATTTTTAATAAATTTCAGTAGTAATGCACGAAACTACTAAATTTGTCATTGTAATTTTATTTTTATTCTAATTCTATTATTTAATGATTTTCCTTTGATTGTATTATATGAAATTGATTTGGAAGAAAACATTTTCTGAAAAAAAAAAGATTAATTAGCTCCTCTTACTTGATTTTTCTTACCTATTGTACATCAAAACGTCTGGTTTCCATAGCTTATTAGGTGTGATACGCAAGTCTTTGACACCACCGTACTCGCTGTCATTCCACCTCAAGTTGTAGTCATTCCATTCCTGTCACATATAAATATAGTTTTAGAAAAGATTAACGTACTTCATCTATATTTCATAATCAATGTTTGTAGTTTATTGCACAGATAACAAAAGTAAAATAATTAAATAGTTTTGATCATGGCATTCTTCTTTTCTTTTCCTTAAAGACGTGTGTTAATTTTATATATAATTATATATATATATATATATATATATATATATATATTTATATATTCATGTCCTTTTAATTCATTTATTTAAATGATTACTAGTTTCGTTCACAATTTAATTAAATATGATTTAGTGGGGACAGCTACTAACACTTTCGCCATTAAATTAATTTTATTAATGTTATCTGTGTCCAAGTCGAAAAGCGATTAAAAACAAATAATGTAAACTCAATTCGTTACAAATTGCATAAAATTTTGAAAACGCTTTTGTACGTGTTCATGCTTCATTGAATGTTTAATTGAAGATCAGTTCGAATTGAGTTTGCAATATCGCTGGCGCTTGATAATTGGAAGTGATAAATAATTAAGCTTTTTGGAAACAATTTGATGTTCAAAGCTTTTAAATCTATGTGTTTTGCCTACATGTATGTAACTATAAGTAAATCACTGGCCTAATCTTATTAATAACTGACATAATATTTCAAAATTTTAAGTTTGTCATCGGGACGGAAACACGTGCTTAAACAACACCTATCTCAAAGTTTAGAACAAAAGGCAGTTAAATTTCAAAATTGTTTCCAATACGCACCAGACGGGTCATATAACAACTTTAACTTGGCTACAGACAATAACAGACTACAGTATTTAGATAGTACTATAGCAAAGCTGACTTAAAGGCCCCTACAAACTTTGTACCCTCTCCACTCATATTACAAAAGTTTGTCTTAACTACTTTGCAGCAATATCTGGGCTACGTGTTTATACGTTTACAGTGCTTCAAGATAAAGCCAACCCTGTTCGTTCTTATTGAATCACAGAAAATGGCATTTAGCAAAATTTAAGGGTTCGGTTCGACTTGAAATACTAAAGTAAGATAAAGGAACTTTTTGTTATAGCCTGTCTGGTGTAAGTTTAATAGATTTAACTTTTACTTTTTTCCAATAATTATTTTTATTTTATCGTTGAGTAAATATCAGTTATTAAATAATGATTTCTTATATTTACGCGAACACTACACATTTAAATAAAACTAATTTTTACGGATTTTATCGCGTATATTAACTTATTTTATATTCCCGACGTTTCGTGTCCCCCGTGACCACGAGTGCTGAAAAGCACCCGAAACGTCGGGAATATTAAATAAGTTAATATACGCGATAAAATCCGTAAAAAGTAGTTTTATTTAAATCAGTTATTACAATTAATATGTTAAAATAAGTCTAAATACGTTCTAATGGACAATTAATTAAACAAGAACCAAATAAATCAAAAACAATTAGAACACTATAAGAAACTAAAATATTTTCTTTTCTAATTATTTATTAACACGGTAGCGTTGATTTAGGTATTCTAAAATAGGTATTGTATATATAAATTGCAAATTTTTAATCCGTGTTAACAAATAAAACCTAATAACCTAAGAAAGGAAGGAAAATTAGGCACACTATCGAATTTCGCATTTCATAGGTAAAGATCAAGCGTCTACCAACATACACTTCACATTGTCAAATTGAAGCTCCATAAAGATCACACATAATAACCATGCACTACATCATGCTAAGGAAACAATTACATTTTCTAGATATACATACATAGAAACAGAAGCGGAAGGAAATTGTTAAAAATGGACAATATGGGTATATTTTGACCGCTCTCCAAGATTTTTCCTCAAGAAACACATCCATGGTTTCAAGGGTAACTACTTTGTTAGATATACTAAGCTGCCATTTTGGTAAATGCTAAGTTAATTATTATTTAATTCGCTTACCAACATATCTTTATTGTTGATAAAAATAATCATGATTATGAATAAGTTTAGATGGTATTTTTTTTTTCATAGATTTATATTATTGCCAACAATAAACATACGTAATAGAAGCGCTCTTTATTACTTTTTTAATTTTTAATTTACTTAAATAACATAAAATAAACTTAACAAGAAATAAATTAAACAGGGTTTCATTTATCAACAGAGTAAAAATAAAAATACTCATAAATTCGCATTATAAGGAAGTTGCAGATTATTTTCGTCCTCCAAATGATTAACTTAACATAATACATACATTTAAAACTGTATGTTAAATATTGAATTTTAATTTTTCTTTTATAAATAACATCATTCCACGGCCATGCATAGTATAAAATTACTACAATAAATTGTAGCCAAACAAAAAAAACCACAGCGGATATCCGGGATGTGCACAACCAGGTTACAGTGTTAAATTTATATTTTAATGTATCAAATAAGATGTGCAAGATCAATTTTGACAAACCGCTAAACATCCGTCACCAATATGTTACTTTCAATTGACACATCGTTTCCCACCTAAATATCCCGCATTTTACTTTATTTAGAATGTTTAAATTGCCACGGAAATAGTAAGTTGGCAATAAATAGCATTAATTTTAAAGTTTATTGTGTTCTTATCTGTTTAAAAAGTTCAGGTCAACCATTAGTACATATTGTTAATGCATTGCGGCCTACGCGGCAGTTATACCGTGAGCTTAAATTTCAAACGTATTTCAAACAGGCTAAAGGACACTATAAGCCTGGCTTAACGAAAACATCCCGCGACAGTTTAATGATTTTATTAAATGATATTTTTTTTATTAAATGACCCGTCATTATCATTAGCTCATAAAACTATCTACTATCATTAAATAAATTTTACATATTTGCCTGAAAAACTTTGTTTCTATTCAAACACAAGCAATTCTTATAATAATATAGAAACATAAAAACCCTTTGATTTTCTGTCATCTGAAATCGCGGTTGCTTTCTGCAGGCTGCCGCCGTGTTTATACTACACTATAGGTCGGTCGATTGCGATGGGATGCGGTTTTTCTTTGCATCCTACCCTTGGGAGTGGATTTGCTTCTCGCCGGACGATCCAATCGTTGTTACTAATTCTGTTGCTGATGTGATCCTGCCTCTGTGGTGCTCATCGGAGGGCGATCTTAGCCATGGTTCAGTCGCTCCTGTAAAATAGCATCACGCTACAAGCAGGAGTGCTCCCGGGCCTGGGCTGACGCATCAACGTCCCGGGATGTAAACACCAGCGCCCTTAAAAAGAAGTATAAATCCGCCTCCAGGTCCTTCAAAAGAGTCATTGCAAACGCAAAGTCAGAGCACATAGGCAGAATTGGTGAGAAACTAGTTCGACTTCCTTCGGGAACCAGTGAATTCTGGTCTCTCGCTAAGGCTGTCCAAGGGAACTTCTGTCAGCCACCTCTTCCATCTCTGCACAGGGAGAATGACTCACTGACCGATGCCACAAAAGCGAAAACCGATGTGCTAGGCTTTATCTTTGCGTCCAACTCGACTCTGGATGACGGGGGGAACACAACGCCGACCATCCCGCGGTGTGAGTGCTCCATGCCGGATGTGCGGTTCACACAGTCGGTCAGACATACACAAGTCAAGTGGACCTAACGGAATCCCCCCAATTGTGCTGAGGACGTGTGCTCCGGAGTTAGCACCGGTTCTAATGCGTTATAAACTGCCAGCTCATACGGTACATTGAGGATCACCAGCTGATTAGTGACCGCCAATACGATTTTCGTCGGTGTCGATCAGCTGGTGATCTTCTGGTCTACCTGACTCATAGATCCAGAGTCTAAGGGGGAGGGAGGTTTAGTTTGGACATTGCGGAGGCCTTCGATCGGGTTTGGCACAAAGCGCTTCTTTCGAAGCTCCCTTCCAACTTCCCAACAAATTGTGCAACTGGATCACCAGCTTTCTTACAGATCGGAGCATCAAGGTGGACGGTGCGTGCTCCGACTACAAGCCTATTAATGCTGGTGTTCCACAACGCTGCATATCAATGATATGTTGCGAAGCGGTAACATTCATTTCTATGCAGATGACAGCACTGGTGATGCTCTATACATCGGCCGTGCCAATATTTCTCGGGAAAACGTCACCGAGTACCGGAACAAACTTGTGTCTAAGTCGAGTCTTTACTGAACAAAGTCTCGGATTTGGGGCGACTAAATTTAGTCCAGTTCAATCCCCAGAAGACACAAGTTTGCGCGTTTACCGCTAAAAGGAACACCTTTGTTGTATCTCCTCAGTTTCAAGGCACTCCTCTTGTTCCCTCAGCCAGTATCGGAATCTTCAGCGTCGATATATCGAGTGACGTGCAGTTTCGTGTTCACTTGGAAGAGAAGGCCAAATTGGCCTCTAAAAAGCTTGGCGTGCTCAGCAGGGCGGGACAGTATTTCATGCCGGCACCCCGCCTGCAACTTTACAAGGCGCAGGTTTGACCTCACATGGAATACTGTTCACATCTCTTAGCTGGGGCTCTCCAGTCCCAGCTCCTTCCACTTGACCGCATCCAGCGCAGAGCGGCTCGAATCGTTGACGACCGAGCCCTTACCGATCAACTCGATTCACTGGCTCTGTGAAGAGATGTTGCATCCCTTTGCATTTTCTTCCGCATTTACCATGGGGAGTGCTCTGAGGAATTGTTTGGATTAATCTCAGCCGCCAACTTTCACGAACGCACATCGCGGCATAACTCCCGATACCATTCACATCATCTGGATGCTTGGCGGTCCAACATGTAGGTTTCACTGGAGTTTTTTTCCGCGTACGATCTCTCTGTGGAATAGTTTACCACTGGCGATTTTTCCGGACCGATACGACTTACGGACCTTCAAGAAAAGAGCTTACTCCTTTTTAATAGGCCGGCCTTACACCTGCGATTCCCTTGGTGTTGCAGTTGTTCATGGGCGGCGGTAGTCACTCACCATCAGGTGAGCTGGATGCTCGTTTGTCCCCTCTCCTATAAAAAAGGTCTGCGTTAAGTCGCCCATTTTTCGTAGTATACTCTTGACATACTTTCATATACACTGTTTGTTATTACATCGCTATACTGAAGCTTTATCTATTTTATGTCTTTTTTAGATGTTGCACGAAAAATTCTCTCACATTCAGTGTGTTCTTTACTTACCTGAGCTTGAAAAACTAAAAGTGTTTTATCGATTGTTATTCGAAAAAAGTCAAGTAGATGCTTAATACTCAAATGTTATGATTAATTAATCAATACTCATTCTCTAAGTAATGATAAATTTGTACGATGGATGCATGATAGGGACTACAGACTATTCTACTTGCATGTCTGGAGATCAGCATAATGACAAGGACATACCGGAAAAAAACTTGCTAAAAACTGTTAACAGACAACAGTAAAATATCAAAACTGCCGCATACTCCACAATGCAATGCAATTTTCAAAGATAGATAGCAGAAGAAAAATTAAGGACAGAGTGAACGTATATAAGAATCAAAGAATAGAGTCAAAGAAACTAAAAAAGTATAATTAAAATTATAAACGAAAAAGAAATTTTATTGAGTGTTAATTTAAGTTTGTTTTTTAATCACACTTACCAATGACAGCCATATATTGGTTATAAGTAGTTGATTCTTCTCGTCCTATTTGGTTAGACGATGTCAACATAAACAGAGAGAAAGGGCGCAGTCAGTACAATGTTCTAAACATCTGTGATTCCACATTTTCTGGATACACGTTACTTAGGGGCCGGGTGGCGCTCGAGAGGGTCTCATGCGGCAGAACGTCTCGCACGCCACCATACACATAATCTAATATTTATTAGGCGCAATGACGAAACAACAATGTAACACCGACTCTTCATGCGACAGATCTGCCGCGATAGCGGCGCCCTCTAGCCGCTCCCGCCTCCTGTATCCATTTTGTCAAAATTATGCTTTAAAATATTAGCGCAAAGCAATAACTTGAATCAGAAAATTTTAATAGAGTGCATCTCAACTTTACTGTGCTTTAGCGTAATAAGAAAACATTTTATCAAGACAAATTATTTTGGAAGACGTATAAAGTCGATATACCATAGGAGGTTGCAAGGGCGGGACAGCGAAGGCGCCAAGCCCGGCTCCTACCACTTACCAAGTTAAGCCAGACGTTTGTAGTCAGGATTTGGTTTTTCTCATCCTTATTTTGTTAAACGAACACGCGGCAACGAAGGGAATGAAAAACAAACAATGAATTTGGGTCATCTTGTAGAACTCATCTATACATTTAATCCTTCATCGTTACTATTTTTAGATTAATCTAATCTTTTTAATGCATATATTGATAAAAAATATAATAAAATTTCTACAATAACTATTGTGACAATAGCTCTGTTCGTACATAACAAAAGCAATAGTACACACTCCTGTGGTTGTACTGATTTCAAAGCGTTTTTAATAATAGTGTGCCCGACAATTCAGCGAACACAGCGAGAATCTGCATTCTGCCGGATGTCGTAAAGGAAATGCAATTAAATGGACATTCTGACGGTACAACTGTGCATTGCGATGAGTTCACATTAAACGTTTATCCTTTTAATACTACGGCAAACGTAATTGACGATTAAAATTAAATATTTGTAGGCTATGAAAATATTTTTATATATTTATTAAAAATTAATCAAAATTATTATAAGGTTAAATTTACTTATTACACAAGAAACGTATTCTCGTAGCTCTAGTCTTCTCAAAATGTGACCATATAAAAATAAACAACTTCAACACCATAAACCTTCAAAACTCTAAGCAGTTAGCATATAAAATTTATTAATTTAACATGGTTTTTTATAGAGAGAATCCTCCCTGTGAAGCAATCTATGGGAGAGGCCTGCGTTCAGCAGTGGAAGTGTATAGACTGTAATCGATGATGGATGGATGGATGATTCTTATTATGTTAGCTTTTGTCTAATTTTATTCGTGCTGATATAAAACTGTCAATTTAGATTGAATAATATGTAAAGTCAAAAGTTAATTACTCGAAATATTTCCATATAATAAGTTTATTAGCTTACTGCATGATATAATTTTATCTAATATCAATTTACGCTTCGCATGCGAATCGTTCGCATGGATGATTGCAATACCAGATATTGCATTTCGATATTTATTTGCCCTCCGCAGACAGTCTACATATATCATATCTGTCCATATGCACAACCTTATTTCATTATATTATGCTTTTCTGTGCCGTGTAGTGGGTGCCGTGTAGTGGCGGTCAAGAATACCACTACCCCATATCCTCCCGTGGGTGTCGTAAAAGGCGACAAAGGGAAACAGGCAGGAGATGGGCAGCAGCATCTTCCTGATAATAGCCAAAATGACAATAAAAAAACTGCGGTTGCCAACCCGCTCTCCAAGCGTGGCAACTATGGAAAATACCCCCCTATGAATGTAACAAAGAGACGGCCCCCAGTCCCCGGCGGCCCCGCTATTCCTGGCTACGGTGGCGACCATGGTAACGGCGGGGCAGGGGGTGCTAAGAATCTCCGGTGGAGGTTCGGTTGCCACCTTAGACGACTCGACCTGGCAACGTACAACGCACGCACCCTGAGGACTGACGAGAAGATCGTGGAGCTGGAAGAAGAGATAGACAAGTTGCGCTGGCATATTATAGGATTATCCGAAGTCCGAAGAGAGGGGGAGGACACGGTAATCCTCGAATCCGGCAACTTGCTCTATCACCGGGAGGGCGACCATCTGTCCCAAGGAGGTGTCGGATTTATCGTCCACAAGTCTCTCGTTAACAACGTTGTAAAGATCGAGAGTGTGTCGACGAGGGTTGCGTACCTTATACTCAGAATCACCAAACGGTATTCGCTGAAGGTCATACAGGTTTACGCACCAACCTCGGCACACCCCGATGGGGAGGTGGAGGAAATGTATGAGGATATCTCTAGAGCCATGCATTCCTCCAAAACCCAATATACGGTGTTAATGGGAGACTTCAATGCAAAACTAGGCACAAGAGAGAACGGTGAGCTGAAAGTAGGGAAATTTGGAATAGGGCAACGGAACCCAAGGGGCCAGCAGCTGGCCGACTTCATGGAGAAAGAGGGACTCTTTATGATGAACTCTTTCTTCCCGAAGCGGCCCCACAGGAAGTGGACCTGGTCGAGCCCCGATGGTTCGACAAAAAATGAGATTGACTTCATTATGACGACCAGACGACAACTGTTCAGTGATGTCTCAGTGATCGCGAGGGTGAACACCGGCAGCGATCACCGAATGGTTAGAGGCACACTGAACCTAAACGTTAAGTTGGAGAGGTCTCGTCTAATGAAGTCAACGCTCCGTCCCCCTCGTGCTCTGTTCCAAAGTCCCGAAACCTTTCAGCTCGAGTTACAAAACCGTTTTCAGTGCCTAGAAGACTGCAATGAAGTGGACGATATGAATGACAAGCTCGTGGAAACTGTCCATGCGGTCGGAGCTAAGTTCTGCAAGACCCGCCGCAGAAGAACACAAAAACTCTCCGATCACACTCTTAATCTCATGGCTGTTAGACGGGAGATGAAGCTACATTCTTCACCAGACTTGACAGCATACAGGCATCTGAACAGACAGATCTCCAAATGCATGCGGCGGGACTTACGCAACTTCAATACAGCTCGTATTGAAGAAGCGATCGAGCGGAACCAAGGCTCCAAAGTCTTTGCCAGAGATCTGTCTGCCAGAAAGAGCCACCTGTCAAAGCTGAAGACAGAATGTGGCAGCATTGTTTCCGGGACACCTGAGATTTTGAGTGAGATTGAGAGGTTCTATGGGCAGCTGTACACGTCATCGTTGGAGCCACACGCAAGTGTGAGTAACGATCCAAGAGCGAGTCTCATCCGACACTATTCCGAAGATATCCCGGACGTCAGTCTGAGCGAGATTAGAATGGCTCTCCAGCACCTTAAAAACGGTAAGGCCCCAGGCGAGGATAGAATTACAGCGGAGCTTCTGAAAGCGGGTGGAAGACCGGTACTTGAAGTCCTTCAGAAGCTCTTTAATTCCGTCCTCCATGGTGGCATTACACCGGAGGCGTGGAGCAGAAGTGCGGTGGTCTTGTTCTTCAAGAAAGGTGACAACGCTCTCTTGAAGAACTACAGACCGATTTCCCTTCTGAGCCGCGTCTACGTGCTGTTTTCGAGAGTCATTACGAATCGTCTCGCGCGCAGACTTGACGACTTCCAGCCTCCCGAACAAGCCGGTTTCCGAAAGGGCTTTAGCACCATAGACCACATACATACCCTTCGGCAAATTGTACAGAAGTCCGAAGAGTACAATTTGCCACTATGTCTGGCGTATGTGGACTATGAGAAAGCCTTTGATTCCGTCGAAATTTGGGCGGTGCTGCAGTCCCTTCAGCGGTGCCAAGTTGACTGTCGGTATATCGAAGTGTTGAAGTGCTTGTACAGTAGGGCTACGATGGCTATCCGAGTACAGAACCAGAGTACGAAACCTATCCAATTGCAGAGAGGTGTAAGACAGGGTGACGTCATATCCCCGAAACTCTTTACCGCTGCATTGGAAGACGTTTTCAAGCTTCTGGACTGGAAAGGATACGGTATCAACATCAATGGCGAGTACATCACTCACCTTCGATTTGCCGACGATATAGTCCTTATGGCAGAATCGCTGGAGGACCTAAGCACTATGCTCAATGACCTCGATAGTGTTTCCCAACGGATAGGTCTTAAGATGAACATGGACAAAACAAAGATCATGTTCCATGTCCATGTCACACCTATGCCGGTAGTTGTTGGGAGCACTAAGCTCGAAGTTGTTGACGAGTATGTTTACCTGGGACAAATAGTCCGACTAGGTAAGTCCAACTTCGATCGAGAGGTCAATCGACGGATTCAACTCGGCTGGGCAGCGTTCGGGAAGCTACGACACATCTTCTCGTCAGACATACCTCAAAACCTGAAAACGAAATTGTACAACCAGTGCGTGTTGCCAGTGATGACTTATGGAACTGAGACGTGGTCCTTCACTGCTGGCCGTATGAGGAAGCTCAAGGTCGCTCAGCGAGCTATGGAGAGGGCTATGCTCGGAGTTTCTCTGCGTGATAAACTTAGGAATGAGGATATCCGCAGTAGAACCAGAGTAACCGATATAGCCCAACGGATTAGTAAGCTGAAGTGGCAGTGGGCCGGCCATATAGCTCGAAGAACCGACAACCGATGGGGAAGAAAGGTTCTCGAGTGGCAGCCTCGTACCGGTAGGCGAAGTGTAGGACGACCCCCCACGAGATGGAGTGACGACCTGGTAAGGCATGCAGGAAGTCGATGGATGCAGGTGGCTCAGGACCGTGCTTTGTGGCATTCTTTGGGGGAGGCCTATGTTCAGCAGTGGACTTGTGAAGGGCTGTAATGATGAAAAATGATGATGAATGATGATGCTTTTCTGGCACTACAGTTTCCAACTTAGGGTGGATAGTTTTAAGCTATTATCATGTTGACTATATTAGCTAAACTAAAGCATTGTCATCTGCCCATAAGCAATAAGAGGGTGGACATGAGGTCAAAGAGGGTGACGTTAAAGTGGGGATTTAGTAGTCTTCTTTTTCCACTTCTCCATCATCATCTCTATAACAGTCCATTGCTGGATGTGTGGCGCTTTCACTGTAGGAAAATTTGGCGGCAATCTCAACTAACACATCATCTAGTACGACATATAGAAGATGGTATCCATCAATTGGAAAGCATGAGGTTTTTCTGTCATTTCCTTGTACAGTATACGAAAAACTTAGAACTATAATCTAAAGCTATAATTTATTATTAAATTCGTTATCAACAATAAAACTCTTTGTGAAATTGGATACTTTATAAATAATACCATCATTATAAGATAAAAGTTTAAGCATTCGATCGGACTAATTAACGAATATCCTGCTTCCGATATTCCTCGTTGGGTGTTGCTCGCTGGAGCTCCGATATTAAGGGACAAATGTTTCTTTATGAAAGAATATTGCTTTAATGTGGAGTTCTGAAGATCTTCTGTATGTTCGAATTTAAAAATTTACGCATACATTTCTAATTCAATGATGTTTTTCAAGTAGACTGGGAGATGCATAATATAGTAATTTAACTTATATCATTAGGAAATTTTCGAAGTACAAAGTACTAATTACTATTAATAATTTATTACTTTTAATAA